GGTAGGTTGCCCCCGAGTTCTTTAAGCCAAACGCCATTACCCGGTAGCAGTAGGTTCCTTCGGGTGTGAGGAATGATGTCTTCTCTTCATCTTCCTTGGCCATGTAGATTTGGTGGTAACCCTTGAAGGCATCCATGAAACTTAGGAGTTCGCACCCCGCAGTTTCGTCCACCATTTGATCTGGACTGGGGAGGGGGTACGAATCCATCGGACAAGCCTTGTTCAAGTCCGTATAATCCACACACATTCTCCACGTGTCGCCCTTGGGAGCAAGGACAACGTTGGCCAGCCAATCCGGGTACTCGACTTCCCGGATGTGACCAACACTGAGGAGGTCTTTCACTTCCTTCTTGACGAAGTCTCGCCGGTCACTGGCCAGGTACCGCTTCTTTTGGCGTACCGGTCGACTTCCCTCCCTCACGGCCAACCGGTGGCAGATAACAGAGCGATCTATCCCGGGCATATCCGCCACGCTCCATGCGAATATGCCCGCGTATTCCTGGAGGACCCGTGTAATCTGCTCCTTGAGATCCTCGGGGAGATTTGCTCCAATTCTGACCATCCTCGAAGAATCACCCGGGTGAAGTTCGATCTCCACCGTCTCAGCCTCGGGTTCCAGTTTCTCACGGGTCTCTCCCTTTGTGATCTCTTGGGAGATGACATTGACCCCTCTGGTCATTTTCTTGACTGCCCGGGCATAGCATTCCCGGGCGTTCCTCTGGTCGCCCTTCACCTCACCCACACCACCTGGAGTGTGGAACTTCATGCATATATGAGGCATGGAAATCACCGCCCCGACTTTATTGATGCCTGGCCTTCCTAGAATTGCGTTGTGGACGCATTTGATGTCCACAACTATGAACCGCATCTTCTTCCACACGGTCTTTTCACCTGATCCTAGTTCGACCGGTAGAACTATGGATTCTTCAGCTTCAACGGTGTCCCCCGTGAATCCTGAGAGAGGGGTTTTGAGGGGTTCAAGTTGTGTTCGACACAACCTGAGTTTTTGGAAGGTCTCCAGGTATAAGATGTTGACACTGCTGCCGGTGTCAACAAGTACCCGGGCAACATCTACCCCATTAATGTCCATGGTGATGACCAATGGATCATTGTGATCTTCACCGGTAGGAGGGAGATCCCGGTCAGTGAAGACGATTGGCTCCCTCCTAGTATGCTTACGCCTGGGCGGTTCAGCACTTACTTCTCCCACGTAAATGCTCCGGACCCAGTTCTTCCGCTGCGCGGCTGAATCTCCACCCTCGAGTCCGCCGAAGATCATGCCGATGTGTTCTTTTTCGGGGGCAGGTTGCCGCTCCCTTGGCCGGTTATTCCTCCGCCGGTCATTGTCCCGGTCATTCCCTGGGGCAGTTGGCCTAACCCACTGATGACTCTTCTCCTGGGCTTTCTGCAAGTAATCTTTGCCCAGCTCTCCACTGTCGATCATCTGCCGGATGACCCCTTTAACACTCTTGCATTCGGAGGTGTTATGGGAATCAGACCTGTGGTACGAACAATAGGTGCCCGACCACTGCCGCCCTACTTGACCGGTAGGGTTTTCTGGAGGAATGACCGGTGCTTTCCGGACTTCTTGGCATTCTTCTGTATTGACCACTCGGATGACCGGGTCATAGTGGTGCCTCGGCCGGCTAGGTCCCGGTGCTTCTTCCTTCTTGACTTGCACCGGCTTGGGCTTGTGACCATGCTCAGCTTCTCTCTTTGCCCGGAGCTGNGTTTCAGCTTCAGCAAACTCCCATGCAGTATGGTAGGCCTCTTGGTACGTGGCTGGGGGTTTCCGGCAGAACTCCTTGTATAGTTCCCCAGCACGCAAGCCATTCAAGAGGAGGGAGAGGACGGTCTTGTCATCCATCTCTTCCACCTTGTCTACCTCTTCCTTCCACCGGGTAAGGAACTGAGTGAGGTTCTCAGACTCCCTCTGCCCGGCTGTACTAAGATAGGTGAACTTCTTCCTCTTAGTACAATTCTCCTGGAACTTGGCCTTGAACTTTGAGGCCAAATCACTGAACGAGTCAATGCTTCCCGGTCGAAGCTTATTGAACCATTCAGTGGCTCGGTTCCGCAAGGTCTGGAAGAAAAAGTAGGCACTTTTCTTCATCGGTGCAACTGTTCATGGTCGCACTCTGGTTGAAGGAGTCCAGGTGGATTTCCGGATCTTCCTTCCCGGTGAATCTAGGGGCGTCGATCTTGACCTTTCGCGGGAAAGGTGTCAGATGGACCCTTGTGGTGAACGGGGACCCTGCCAGGGGTTTGTCCCGGTCATTCGTCTCCCCGACCTTCTTTTCCAGCCTTTCCAGCTTTGCCTCCATCTGCTGGACGCGGTCGATTGGGATGGTTAACCGGTTCGCCACTGGTAACCTGGGCTGGCTTTCTGCCTCCCCTTCCTGGTGGGAGGCCCTCGTCCTCGCTGGCTCCTGCCGGTTAGACCGGGAGCGCCGGGTGCGGGCAGGCTCGGCCTCCCGCACCTCGCCTAGCCGGGCGAATGCGCTGACATGGGCAACACTCTGCCCCAGCCTCTACTTGGCTGACTTCCTCTGGCCTTCCTCCCTATCCCCCAGCCTTTCGAAGGCAGAGTTTCGGGAGGTCGCTGGCCGGATGTTTTTTCCTTTCTTTTTCTTGTGGACCCTCGGGATGTCCCACTCGTCGTCATCACTCTCAATCGAGACGCAATGACCGTCAGGAGTGATCTGCGGATCCGTAGCTTGTGGGGGACGCGACGGCCCTGCAGCGTTAAGTGCACCGGCCAAGTTGACAGGGGCCATGGTGCTGACCAGCTGGGGCTGGAAAGGTGATGGTTGCGGCATCGGCGTCTGGAACGACGTCACCGCCACCAGAGCTTGTAAGGGCATGGTCCCCGCGCCTGGAAGGGCGAATGGGAACATACCAGGGAGGAAAGGCATCCCCCGTTCTGCTGGCACATAGCCATGACCTGGCCAAAGCCTTGGATGGCTTGTAGGTTGGCTGGGTCATTCATGAACTGAGTCATGCTTGGTGGGAACGTTACCCTCGGTCCAGCGGAAGGGACGGGGGTTACGAAGGGACTGATCACGCTGGCCGTCGGGACAGAGCTCAGACCCAAAGGCAACACCGGGGCTGAAATGACCGGTATGGTAGCAGCCACCG